TGTGCCAATATTATCTGCATTCTATGATCTTTTTTGATTTGTGACTTTCGTTTGGGTTTAGATGTAAAGGTTAATAAATCTGAATTTAAATTAAAAACTGGAATCTTGTTTTAAGTAAAAGACTGGAATCTTGTTTTAGAGTTTGAAATGTACCTTAATTTCGGATGTGAAAATATTTGTAATTAGAGTCTAATAATTGCTTTTTCTGGAAAATGCAAACTTCACTTCAACCTACAAAGGCTTTTGGCATGGCTTGCACAATATCAACAGAAAAACATTTTCTCCGATCCAGCACGTGATAGTCATTTTACGTCGGATGTACTCATTCGTGTGCTTTTGATAACAGCAGTTTTATTGCCTTATGTAGTTTCCTATTAGTAAGGTTACACTATTTGCAGTTTATTTTTCTCTCTTCAACCTGGGGGTTCACATATTTGTTTCGTTTTATTAGCAGATAATATAAGTACGGGAAATAAAAGAATGTCTTCAATATCGGCGCTTTTCCTTGGGCAATAAAATAATAACCGAATTCACTTCCTTCTCTTTGTCGGCTTTTTGTCATTATTTTAAATTTATTTCCTGATTTACATTTTTAGTAATGATCGAAAAAAATAATATCGCATATCTGAAACAATTTTAAGCTAAATAGTGACGAGGCTTTAAATTTAAAATTTAATCCGTGGGATATTCATGAAATAGAATATAAATTTATGCATTTAATATGCTGTTCAAAATACATTTAAGGCAAAAATTTTTTTATAATACTGCTCCATAAAAAAGGGGGCCATTTCACAAAAACATTTTAAAATAAATTTTTAAAAAAAATTTGAAAGTTTTCAGATTTTATATTACGTTTAAAGGGGCTTTTTTTAAACGTTTTGAGTGTTACTGTTATTTATTAAATATCATGTTTTTCGCACTTAAACCATAAAATTCAATTCAACAGCAATATCACAAAAATTATTTAAAAGAAGCATATCTTTAGAATTTTCAATACACACTCTTGCGCGCTGGCGATAAAAATGTTTTTTACAACACCTTACAGTGTTGCCATTGCTCGCTTTGAAATCGTTGAGTTTCTTATTCCAAATTTGGGCTTCCAGATGCCCAAATCTGGAACGCTCTTAAGGTGCGTAAACAATAAAATGACTACCACTTCTGACCTTAAGAGTGGCCATTGTCGAATAGACAAGTGCCCACCATTAGAAAAAGAAAAAAGAATCTTTTACTCGCCCTATAAACAAGGAATCGATTACATCTGAAGAACGGTGCAGCCGCAAATTTCAATCTTCCGGCAAAATCTATCGATCTTGGTAAATTTCCCTTTTAAATAATTACGTACAAGCTTACCTCAATGAGAAAGTCCCTTATTTTTCTGTAAAAGGTATTTGAATGTAAATAAGAGCCCTACAGAAATTTTAATTGTATTCAGTAAATTTCGTTTGAGGCAGAAGTTTTTGGCTAAAAAAGAAAGATCTAATAATTAAACAAAAACTTTGAATTATTTTAACATATAAGGTATTTTATCCTTCCTTTTCGCATGCCTTCGGGCTGTAATTGGAAGCATAATCGACGCGTATTCGAAAGGTTCAGCGTTCGAAATCCGGCCGCGCCACTGCACATGTTTCACGTCTGCTGCTTAAAAAGACTTTACAATCAAATCTCTGAAACATCGAATTCCTGTATTTTATGTTTTTGTCACATTTAAACACAAAAAATAAAACTGTAAGATATTTTAATAATAGCAGAAACATGAATTTAGAAACAGATGCTGAATAAATGGTAGGAGGAGAATGATCTGATAAATAAATTTAAATAAAGTAAAGAGTAAGACAAAAACTTCAGATACTATATTGATAATGCATTCCCCTCCCCCTCAGTATTACATGTTCATTTTGATAAAGCTGGCCCGCTTATCGACAAAGCTCTATTTCTACCGAGATAACGCATTCCTGTTCTGAAACTGATTCATGTAGACTCATGTGGCTCATATCATTGATGGTTACAGGCAATATTAAGATGTCTTTGGCACGAACAGTAATTGCAAGCGTTGGAAAGAATAGTAAGTCATTGTTAGTTTCAATTATATGCACAATATTACTGTTACTTAATGGATTGAATGCAAGCAGAACAGATGCTTTATTAAACATTATTATTATTATTTATTATATAAACAAGTTATATAGATATTATTTAACTACACTCCTCTGAATTCTCATGTACTTATATATAATTACTACATAATAAATATTTATGCTGTAAGTTTCATAACAACAGATAAGAGAAGAATATCCTAGCTACTTTTTTATTGACCTAGTACAGCGGTTCTCAACCTCTTGACTAACGCATACCATGTAAACAAAAATTGAAAACCTTTGGTACTACCACCACCACTCTTGAACAAAGCTCAGATCGAATAAATTTACGAGCGTTAGGGAAAGAACTCAATCAGGATGTTGGGGTTTTAATTTTTGAATTTAATAGTTAAAAATACTTTGCTTCTTTGAGTACCCCCTATTTTTCTCTTGCGTACCACGGGTTGAGAATCCCTGACCTAGTACGTCTAAAGCCAATAAAACAATTTATCATTACAAAAGCAAAATTTAAATCGCGGTTGAGGAAAAAAGTATCTCCACTGAAAGAGTTCGGTCGTATGTTCATGTTATTTTGCTAATGCAAAGGATTGTTCGCAGGCTTGGAAGCATTGAAAGCGTATAAATAGCTATACTTATGGAGGGATTAAAAATTTTAATAAGTTTCTTTGTAAGAAATCACTCACTTGCGAATCAAACTTTGGTTTCTTGGGAGAATGTGAAGTGATTTACCGCCTCGTCTTAATAAAGCAACTGTACACAGTACAGTACACTAGGGAGAAGGGACTCCTAGATTTAGGCTTAGAGAAGTATAAACCTAAATCTTATACTTCCTTATACAGTTATGATCCCCCAACCCAAGGATTCATAACTCCGAATCAACCCTGGGGGACAAAATTGCATACCGTCAAGGATCATGAAACGCAAGTCAAGGCAGCCAGAAAGCAGTCGAACGAAGAAACGAAGATCAACGTCAAAGACTCTCTCTCATCGTTGACCAAGGAAAGCCAAACCTCCCAAAGACAACCTTCGATACCCACAACCATGTCCCCCCCGGGGGGTCGAAGTAGAGAATTCTGCGAAGCTACTGGCTAGGATCTGTATCTAGACAGTCTCGGCCACGGGGGTATAAAATTTATGAACTTGGTGGTTCTGAAGGCTCCGGGAAAGGTCACTTATTGGCCGGCCTCGAGGTCTGGCACTTCCTAGCGCGGCGTGAGGCTACTAGTTTTCCCGGGTAATGACCCGCTGCGACGGGCAGCCCGAGCGACTGGTAGGTAGCAAATAACGACTAGTGCCGTCTCGGGTGACTACCTGGGCGGTGCGCCTCCCTCTCTGAGGGGCCAGAGCGAAGGGAACCTCCGAGCCTGGTTCTAAGGAGTGGAGGGACCTGTAGTGTGATAAATGGTTCACGGAACAGGGAATGCCAATATGTTGTTGTTACCCACAACCATGTAACGTCCCAACAGCCAAAAGCCAGACAAAGCAGTACCAGTATGGTCCCTGCCGAGCCTGAAACTACGACCGAGTAAAACGATGGTTTCAGCCAATGAATTCTCGTGTTTACACTTAGGAATAAATCAAAAGAATGTATTTTAAGCAAACCAGGGAATTACTTTTTATAATTTCTGTTGAACTAAATGGAAGAAGTGTTAAATGAAATATGTTATAAAAACATAATACATCTTCACAGTTCTACAATTTCCTGTCAGAGAATGGTATTTAAACAACAAGCTTTACTAGAATAGCCGCTTATTCGCCCCTCTAGCCCTACACTTATTTAACTACACTTCCCCAACTTAACTTAAGTTTCCCAACTTAAACTTATTAGGCTTTAGTGACTTAACTACCAAGCCGTCAATATATGATCGAAATTGTAACTTTCATTGCTATGGTCTCTTTAAGCGGTAAAGCTATGCTAACATAGATAATGTCATCATACAATTGTACATTCCGTCTCTTTTACAAACCTCTACATCCAGATTTCGTCGGTTAGTATTTAGCTTAATTCTGTTAAAATATTTCAAGGTGTTAGAATTCAATCTATCAAGCTTTCTTAAAGAATAAACAATAATCATTAGATGATTTCAGTCGGTTAATACAGTTCGTAAATAATATCAAAATTCAATTATAAATCTTTGTAAGAAAGGGATAACTAACGAAGAAAAAATATATTGATGAATCACAAAATGTATTATAACATTCTTTCCGAAATCGAATGGTTATTGTAGAGTCCATGGTATAAAACAGTGGCTGCCAACTTTTGTATCCTCACAGCCTAAACTGTCTTGCGGGGGACATTTAGAGTGCGTTTTGGAATAATAAACATCGGTTGCTTTAAGTTTGCTGTCCATTTATTTCAAAAAAAAAAAAAAAGATGGTTTGAAACTTGAATTCTTAAATTTTATCAATAGTAAAAAATTTATTAACTTAGCCTGTACACTGAAAATAAATAAATAATAAAAAAGTTTTATATACCGCATGTGGTCGATGCCCGCTATTACAAGTACATAAAATTTTATAACCTCGTTTGAAGAACTGTTCGGTCTTGAAATCTGGCATATTTTAAGAAAAGTTTTGATACATTTTTATCTGTTTCTGACATAATTATAAACTCAGCAACTAATACCTTGAGAAGAAATATTCAGTACTTCATATTTATAAGAAAACAGACATTAATAAATAAATAAATAGTAAACATGTAAGCTACTGAGAAACGAAATCAATATTCTGTATTGTTTCAAAGTAGTAAATTAACTGTCTCCCCTCCCCGTATAGTAAAAAGGAATATTTTGTTTGCCAACAAGAAGAAAAGTAATTAAGTAATGAAAAAGAGGTTTATGATTTCTAGATATGATTTAGATAATAATGTAAAATAATATTTTGATGAATAATTATTCATCTTACTTCTACAGCTGGGTCTGTCAACTGTTTCAACTATGAGGTGGAAGCCTCTTTTAATCAGAAGCTTTCTAACAAATCGGAAAGCTCATACTTAATTTATTAAAAACTGAAAAAAAAAAAAAAAAAAAAAATGCGAAGATATGTTAGAGGCTTAATAAGAAATAATGAAATACATTTTCAAAATAAAATTCTATATGAGTAACAAAAAAATCAATTAAACAAATATACATTCAATAACCTTTTTAAATATTTTCTATATATAAGTGCACAGTATAAATACTCTACGTAATTATTCATACAAAAATTTGAAGTGCATCTTCAATAATTTTTACGGGATCTTATAGTTAAGTCTCAGATTGCTGACCTACAGAGCAAAATTTCATCCGTAAAACTTTCAAAATTTAAAAAAAAAAAATTGCATCTCTAAATTAAAAAAACGAGTAATTTAAATTAAGTTGAATTTAAAGAACAGAATTAGATGCAAATTTCTCCCATGAAACTTTCAAAAATTTCGAAAAAGAAAAAATTTGCATAAAAAAAGAAAAAACAAAAAATAATTTCAAAAAAATAATTTTAAATTAATAAAAAGGAATTTAAAAAAGAATAATTTTAATTAATTTACATTTAAAAAATACAATTAAGTACAAATTTTTCAGTGAAACTTTCAAATTTTCCAAAAAGGAAAAATTTCCATACATCATATAAAAAAAAGGAATAATTTCAATTAACTTAGATTTAAAAAATAGAATTAAGTACTAATTTCTTCCATGAAACTTTCAAAATTTCCGAAAAAAAATTGCGTTTGTGAATTAAAAAACGAACAATTGAAATTAACTTTAATTTTATGAATAGAATTAGATATTATAATTTCTCCCACGAAACTTTCAAATGTACCCAAAAAGAAAAATTTCCTTATATGAATTTAAAAAAAAAAAAAAGAGAATGACTTAAATTAACTTGCATTTAAAAAATAGAATTAAGTACTAATTTCCCAAACAAGAAATATTTGTATCTATAAAATTAAAAAAAAAGAACGAGTAATTTAAATTAACTTGCATTTAAGGAATAGAATTAGGTACTAATTTCTTCCATGAAATTTTCAAATTTTCAAAAAAGAGAGAAAAAAATTGCATTTAAGAAATAAAAAATGGTTAATTTACATTAACTTGCATTTAAAGAATAGAATTAGGTACTAATTTCTTCCATGAAATTTTCAAAATTTCCAAAAAAGAGAAAAAAATTGGATTTAAGAAAGAAAAAACGACAAATTTAAATTTACTAGCATTTAAAGAATAGAATCAGGTACTAATTTCTTCCATGAAACTTTCAAATTTTCCAAAAAAGAAAAATTTGCATATATGAATTAAAAAAACGAATGATTTAAATTAACTTGCATTTAAAGAACAGAATTAAGTACTAATTTCTTCCATGAAATTTTCAAATTTCCAAAGAAGAGAAAAAAAAATTGCATTTAAAAAATAAAAAAACGAACAATTTAAATTAACTAGCATTTAAAGAAGAGAATTAGGTACTAATTTCTTCCATGAAATTTTAATATTTTCAAAAAAGAGAAAAAAATTGCATTTAAGAAATAAAAAACGAATAATTTATATTAACTTGCATTTAAAGACTAGAATTAGGTACTTACTTTCCCCAATATGAAAATTCAGTTTAAAGATTTCAAAAATTTAACTAAATCATTTTGTATAACAATTCGTAAATTTCCTAAGCATACGAACAAAAATATAGGTTATGTATCTAAGGCCACTTGACACTTTTTCGATTGCTGTCATATACCGCTCTTTTCCTGTGTCACAGAGAGCAAGATGAACTCAAGAGCTATCCAGCTGACGATGCTGGCAGTTTTCATTGGCAGGATAACGTGACGTCATTATATGCATCCTCTCTACTCACCTTTTTTTTTTAACTGTTATTTGATGATTTGTTTATTATCGCGGTTACAATTCACTTCATATCACAGTTTTTATCACAAGAACATTGTGACGAAACAGTTCGATTTTTGTTCCCGGTAACTAATGCTTTTTTTATTTTTTAATTCCTGAAAATACTCAATAAATCACTCAAGACTTCTTATTTCAGTAGGTTAAAAATACACACGTAAGATTAAAAAAGATCTTTGCGGATTTGAACACAATACTAAATTATATGTATTAATTTCTTGAATTTTTTCAAAATACTTCATTTTAATTTATGAATTCCGCTATAAATCTAATAAAAATTCGACTTGTATTAATGAAATTATTTTAAAAATTTTAAAATTTGAATTCTGTTTGATTATATAAAACATTATGATCCTCAGATCCAATCAGAGTATTCCATAGTTCTTCAGAAGCTTAGTACTTTTTAGAATTCATGAGCTTGTTGTGTGGGTACGGGTACTAATAGGTTGAATGCCCACAGCTCCGATGATAGCTTTATAAAATGTATTTATCAAAAGAAACACTTCAGAAATCTGGAACTTTTCCCAAAAATAGTCGTAAACTCGTCACAATATCACAGAGTACAATTAGTAGTTACACTTCAAATTACTATGAACGTTAAACACAAAGCAATGCAAAGCGCTTCTATACGGCGAAACTAAGCCTGAGATAGTACTCAGAACATACGCTGAGCTAACAGCTAACAACAACAACTGACAGCAGATGCTCTGATTGGTCATATACAATTTTCATGTGGCCGCCGACATATTTCTAGTACTTTCTGCTTCTCGAAATTACTAGAAGTCAACATGAGGGTCGAATTACGGTTACAGCCAATATGGTGATCAATTACATTTATTCAATTTACAATATCTATTGCGATAATACAAGGACCGGAACGAAATGTTGCCAAATTGTCGCCAAGTTTGGGGACTTTTCTCCAAATTTGGTCACCAAAATTATTGCCAATTTGGAGATTTAATTACCTAGATACTCATTTATTCAATATTAAATAGACTTCTCTCTATATTCTTAGTTTGCCGACATAGCTTGTCTCTCTCAATTTTCCATGTTACATTACACGGAAAAACACAACAGTGTCGCATATAATTGCACTAAAATCATCTATCTATGTACAAAATTCGTAAGAAACAAACTTGATATGCTGACCTCGTACGGCACTTAAAGAAAATATCGCCATCCCTACCTGATAGAAATGTTTCGCTTAAAGTATCTCAGATATGTGCAAGAATTTTTTCATCATTGTGATACACTACTCTGCGTTCAACATAATTTTGTTTGAAATACTAATAATACTGAAATATACAAGAAAGCTATTCATCAAAGTTACCTATATGAATTATAAGAGTAAAGTTTTAGGAAAACCACTTGCATTGCGTCTTTTATTTCTCATAAGGCTATTCCTGAAGCTCTAACAAATTACGACTGACAGATATTTGAAAAAGACAAAGAACTGACAGCAAAGGACTTGTAGGTCATTAGGTGTCATTAGGTAGGCAGGAGACTTGTGAAAAAAATGCAATGCCTTCGCTGGGACTCTCACCTGGATCTCTCGAATACGCGTCGAGTGTGCTAACAATTACACTACGAAGGCATGCAGAAAGGAGGGAGAAAAGACCTTATATACTCCCCCTCTTACGGTCGACTGGGGATTTGCAGACTCATCACCAAATCCTGGTGGTGAAGAACATCATCCACCAGCTTTTAGTTCGGGCACCACTGTAGAGACATTAGGATTTTTTGAAGTAGAAATCTTGAAACATGAGCAATGCCGTCGCCGGGACTCTAACATGGACCTCTCGAATACGCGCCGAGTGTGCTAACTATTACACCAGGGCAGGAAAGGACAGGACTAAGTGTGGGAAGCACCAACACATCGCCATTGGCAGAACTGGTGTCGCTCCTTCACACTAACCGTCTTGAGATGAACACCTCCACAGGGCGTACTTACGCCACAGGGCGTATTTACGCCAACCATTACACCAGGAAGGCATGCAGAAAGGAGGAAGAAGATACCTTACCGATCTTCTGCCTAAGTCCACAGGTCGCGTGAAAACAATCAGATCACTTTTCACTCAACACAAAGTGGGAAGATTTCGAAAAACCACTTTTACACGAAAGATGAAAAGAAACTAGCGTTTTTCCTCCTCTAACACTATACGCGAAAGGGTATTAGTGTACATCAGGGTTTCTTAAACTTTTTTCAGTCGCGACCCCTTTTTATCACTGAGATTTTTTTCTCTACCCCAGGACCCCATAATATTTACGAAAATTTTGTGGGACCCCCATAAGCATTACGCAAATCCGACACACGCGTGAGTGAAACTGTCAATTTTTTCACTTGTACTGTAATATACTATTGCAGTTTTAGGTCATTAACTTTAATTTCTAATTTTAAGACATAGAACAATGTGAAAATTTTAAATAAGTAACAGACGAAATGCAAAGCAAGGAAACAAACGTTTATATTATAAAAAGAATGCGTCGAAACGTTTTCGTATTTTTCTTTGCCTGTATTGTTTTATCTTTATCTATTTTCAGATACATTGTGCAAAAATATTTGGTAATTGTAAAATTATTATAATAAGTTAAAGAAATATCAAAACTGCTAAATTTTTTGGTGACCCACAATTTAAGAAACTCTAGTCTACATTATTAAGATTGAAATGCAGTTGAGTATTTTCAGAAGGAAACCCGAAGCTCCCATCAAAGTAATCACACATGAACTGCCTCCCGATGCCGAAACTCAGGAAATATTGGATGAACATTGTGGCAAGGGCTTCTCATTCACAAAAAACAAGCAATTTACAGTGAAGAAGGACAACACAGTGGAAATGCTTCCAGTCTTCTTTGTAGATATTCAACTCTTTGATTATGCAAGAAAGATATATCATCTCGACTCTTTCGGGACTGACTATCACCATCAGGAAATACAGCCGAATAAAAAGTCTAGGATGTGCTTCTGTTGCCAGTGAATGTTCATTTCATGGATAGATTAGACGCCGCTTTGTCTCAGGTATGGTTCAACTCATTTGCCTTACACATACGAGCTTCATAAGGAAGAAAAGCCTATGTGCCTCAAATGTAAACATGATCATCTAGCTTTCTTCAAAGGTTGCTCCATTTTGGACAAGGATGAAAGAGAGGTTTCTTAAAAGAAAATCCTGTTTCACTTAAGCAAAATAACCCGATGAAAATGCTAATTATAGGATCATATCTTCAACAGTAGAGTTCCCCATACATCTGCCTAAACCTATGTTCTCTAAAAACATATGAAATCTGTTTACAGATTTAATATTACGCTATAGTATTGTAGGGATTATGTTAATTTTATTAACAGTTAAATTTTAAGTTAAAGTTCCTTTCCTATCAAATTCTTAACTTCAACTTACTACTTCCGGCCAGAACATACTTTTTGGAATCTTGCTGAATATTTAATAAGGAGAAGCGGTATTTACACCACGAAGTTACTTACTGAGTCAGAGAGAATCACAGTATTCTGATTTGCGCGCGTCTGCCTTTTTGGCCACTTTATCTCTGCTAATGCCGAGCGTAATAAGCTGTTATTACGCTCGGCCGTACTCAGGTCCTTGCTAAGCTTCAAATAAGTTAAGAGGCCAACTCGATTTGAACCTTGATAGCTTCGGCTATACTTCTTTAGTTAGTCTTTTAAGTTCAAGTCCAAGTGCGAGCTTTGCTTGTACACTCCCAGGCGGAGTTTTGTTAAATCTTATTGGAATAATAAAGGGTTAATTACCCTTCTATCTTGTTGTTTCTTGTCACCGAACTCAAGCGATTATTCGCTTATCAATTCTTACATTCTTCACTTCCAACATTAACTTAGGATTCCAAAGTTAGGAACTCTACAGTCTACATGACATACTGGGCACTGTAAAGGTAAAACGACTAACTTGCTTCTGAAAAAGTTAAAACAGGCATTGTCTTTAATGGAATTTATCTCCAGGCTTCTGAAATAACCTAATGTCTCTACAGGGGATTCAAAGTCGAGTTCATCCACCAATAGCCGAGTGAGTAAAAGCACTAAATACTGGTAGTTCGGTCTGGATTCGAGCCCAGGGGAACGAGTTGGCTGCATAGTTGGTTGTAGTGGTTTTCCCCATTTCTAACGCGAATACGAGTCATCTTCCATTAGAAAGACCACCCTACTTTTAAGTAGGTAGTCTTCATGGTTTCCAGCACTCTCACTGTTTTGCCATATTCTAATAACCTAACCTTGCAGAGTCTTCTTCTATCTAGGAATCATACACTGTAGATCCTAGCTGAAATGAGTGAGTAGCGAATTCTCGCTAGGTCTTGGAGGACCAGATAACTGCAGAAAAAACTTTAAATACCCTTTTTATTTGAACTTAACAAAAAAATTGGACTCGCTCGGTGCTCACAATCTACCACCACTTGTAACTTGACAGAAAAATAAGATATAAAATAACAATAAAGTAAGATAGGTTATACGACTGGCTCTTTTTTTATCTAAACCGGCAAATCGGCTGCGTACAGCAAAGCAAAACCTAAATTATCAATATAATCTAAAGAGAGTGGCTAACCAAGGCTACTTCAAACAGGCGGCATAAATTTGATACTAACTCCCCTACTACAAACTCTTAAAACCGCTGCTTAAATACTAATTCCGAATTCACTTAGATTTGCATACTACGTCATTTAAATTTACATTCTGACAGGAAACAGAAATCAGAAGGGAAAGGAAAGTTTCTGAAATTAAAAAATAATTGGTTAGAATAAAATAAAGTTTTTACAACCTAACCTAGATTCAGGCAATAAACAGGTTCTGTCGAATTGCATAGCTCGATTTCTAAACTACATATTCTGTCTCTATTGAAACTCAACTTCATTTGCATTCT